AATACCAAAGGATATTTTAGGGGACTGAAATACGCTATTGAGAAACGGAGGTTCATGAAAGAAACCTAGACCGATTAGTTGAACTACGTGACAGTTAATTGCTCTTCAATTTTTCAGTGTTTATCTCGGTAGTTAAATTAAGAAAGAAATGGTGTTTTTAAACGTCGTTCCAGAACTGTGTTTCGTAACAGTTTTTCTTATGCTTATTATATTTTATCGATCCTTTTTACGTTCCACTACAAGATCACGTTAGCGACCCTACCTGCCACAACATGTTATGATCTACACTGTCATTGGGTACATGTTACCAGTTCACACTATGACACACATGACACACTATTAAATTTCATTAAAATCACTGGCAATGTGTGATGAGCGCAGTTGACCACTTTCTGGAATTTCAAACATTACTACAATATAGTTGCTGACAGGAAAACGTATAATGATTTAATCAGACGGAATTATGAATTAATTTTTCATTGAATCCATGGTTTTTTACATTGAAAATAATGTATTTACACAACTTATTATGCTTTTAAACACGTTTTACGAATTATATTCATAGATTTTATTAGCATTGCGCGACAATTTTGCGAGGTGAAATGTAGTTTGAGGACAATTAAAATAGTTTTAGTGATTGAATGAGACGATGTTAGTTGTTCAATTTTCTCGTTCAACAACTCTTAGCATTTATCTCTTGTATTGAAGAGATGAAATGATCTCTGATTGCTTATTCTGACATGAGAGAGTATTGTCCCGAAATATCCAATGCGGGACAATGACAATTGAAGGGATTTTGCACTAACGAAGGGCGAGAAAGGCATGAAAAAATTGATTTATGGAAAGAAGCAATATTTTTGTGGCCATTTTGCATAATAGCTAATATGAGTTGGTCAAAGTAATATCGAGCGCATGGGCGTCTTATGGCGCCTACTCAAGACTTCTGCGGAGTTGTGACAGTTGCCTCCCTGGCTAACGAGTTGTCCGTCGCCTGGGTGCGGCCCCGCGGTTCCCCTGACCCCACGGAGCGGACCGTTCCCACGAGGGAGCTTCGTTTGCTTGCGACCCACACGTCCCAGTTTTCTTCTAAAGCTCATTATCAGTATTTGCTCTTATCCCACAATTGGGAAAAGGAACAAAGAGGATGCTCTGATTGAAATCATAGTTTGCAAATAGTATACTGCATAACTGAAAAGTGCATCACTTTGTGCAGATAGCATCACTTCGAAACGAGTTTATATGGATTTTTGTGAGCTGTCGAAGATTCGAGAGTGGATAATAATTATTTTTGAGTAGACACTCCGTATAACAATATTTTAGAGCGCATTTGGCGCTTCACTATGCGAATACAAGTTGTCCATAAGGCTCTGCTTTTCGGTCTACGCGATTAACATAAAATATTCTTGACTGCCGGAAGGTTGTAGAAAGCGCTAGCAGAGTGACAGAATGTTTCATTAATAAAAACAAGTATTAGTGTATCTGCGTGTTAGACTACCCGCTTGATAGGTTGTCATTTGAAGTTTCATACAATATATACTGTCTTTTTTTAATTAGTACGTCACTTAAAAAACAGTCTCTTTAAAATTTGTTAGATAGCAGAGATTTATATAATTATTTTATTTCATACAATACAAATTAAATTTTAACCTAAGTTTTTCAGTTTTCAAACACGACGTTTCAGGAGATTTGTGCCCCCATCTTCAGGTCTAATGAAAATACAATTGATTTTAATTAATAAATTATACTTAGCCTAATTTAAATTCTCGATAATTAACATAATTGAAACAAACTTATTGTTCTTTCATATAACAAGTTTTAGGTCCAACAAAATTCTCGTTATCTGGTTTGTTGTGACCAACCGAGGAAGCTTATACATTGTTTAAATGCCTAAATCTTTTCAATTTTTTTCTTTAAAAATGTTTTTAAAATTGTGAACAGATTCACTTTTTAAATTACCACTTTAGGGCAGCAGGGAAGCAAGGAAGGGGAAGTTTTATTCTATAATGAAACCTGAATTTGATTCTGATTTTGTTTCTCGTACAATTCTTTAATTATATTATCGTAGTTGTTTGCAAATGAGTTTAATTCAGTCATTGAATTCATGGTCTGCCGAATTTTCATCTGTAACGCTTCTATTATTATTCTATCTTTGTACCTTCTCTCCACCGCTAGAACCTGTGGGTCATTGAATTCTATTTGATGCTTTAGATATAGCCTGTGCTTAGAAATACAGTTATGAGTATTGTTTTATTTTTTTAAAATTTGTTGTGTCTACATCGACGCAACGCGTCTCCTAACTCCTTAAGGAGCGTTGATCACACTGGAATAATCTTTCGTTTATTAACGATTAAATATTTAGGGGCCGTGAGTCATAGTCAAGTCAGGGAATCGCCGACAGGTAGCGTCTTCGCGCTCGGGTCTCGCACGCGCCCTGCGTCATCTACCCATCGGCCAGAGATGGGAAGGAATGAGGATAGGGGAAACATTTAGGTCGCTTCGCAGGGATACTCGTTTTGTCGTAACAAATTGCACGTGAGGTTCTACAGGGATTCTACGGAAATCGAACCGGGAACCTCAGTGTTGAAAGGCAAGCAACTTCGCCATTGAGCCACGAGAGCCTCTATTGGGTTCTTCTAAAATGTTTCTTCTATGTTAATTAATTCTATCTTTCAGTTTTTTTCTTAGTCTGTGTCACATATTCCAAATTACAGTCTACAACGTAAGGAGTCCACCACATTACCCCTCTCTGTCATATGTGTTTGATCTTTCTCGTGTTCCATCAGTACATTCTTTTTTAATACAGTGTTTCGAATTTCAACAACTTTTTCATTTCTTAACGTCTTTTTTTATTTTGCTATTTAGTTTTGGAATGTACGGTAATATGTCATTTGAGGTATTAAAAATAATAACTTTCCACGTTCAATGCGTTATTTTCTGGTCTACGAGACACGAAAATGACTTTTTATTCGAAATAGATTGGTGTAAATGTCACTCAAAGAACGTTTCATGATCAAACATTACATATTGGTCGAAAGATCATTGCGGATCTCCAAAAGGACATTTGATTTTGGAAACATATACCATTGAAGAATTTAATTAAGGCTATCATGTCCCACCACGCAGAAGAATATCTTCTTAAAACTATTGAGGGTACAATTATGGAATGTAATGAAATGACATACGTTAAACGATCATTATATGTATGGAAGAATTGAAGTTGCATAATGGGGAAGCTGATGTAAGTTGACCTTCAGGTCTCTCATTCTAGTAATATACTTTCAGAGTTCACAACCTATCTTATGAATCACTTGAGCAAAAACACACCGAACATAAACAATTGTCTTGGGCGTTAAAAGGTATTTTCGAATGAATCTCACATAGTACTGGTCCGCTTTGAAAATAGCCTTGCACAGAAAATCTTTAATTTTTAAATCTTCAATTGGAATGCGTACAGTTGTCATGCAATTTGTCTAACAATGATTTTGAAAGCATAATGCCGGATACTATCTAAACAGACTTCATTTCTTCAAAAATGGTTTCACTCCCTGTACTAACAATTACTTCAGCGATATTTCTTTTTCTTACTGCCAAAGCAAACAATTAGGGAAACACAATTCATAAATCTGGTTGATACACAAAATGTCTAGACACCTCCGTTGTAATGCATGTCATATTTATGCAAAGCGTACGTGCTTAAAATCGCATTCCTTAAACTATTAGGTGTTTCCAATAGAAAACTAAAAATCAAAATATTTTCGTCTAAATCCAAACGTTCAATTACAGCCAATGAACATAGAATTACTGAAGAAAAATAGAATTATTGCATCTGGTGCAGCACAAAACGGATAAATATCAGTTTCGCCTATGCTACAAGTCTGCTAACTTTTGCTTTGGGGATTAAGTATAAGTAGTTGAAGAGAACAATGAAGCAAGAAGTACAGCTTGCATTTCTTTTATTTACATTCTTCAAGAACAAAATATATTTTCTAGAAATTATAGCCAAAAAATGTACTCTCTATTTGTGCTAAATGTCTGGTTAGTATTTGGTCCTTGGGCCTCTAAACGAATCTCCCAAGGGTAAAATGCGTTCATATTTTGTCATGTTCACAATTTTCAAAGTGTACGAGTATATCGTGCTTCGGAAGGTTCCGAGCAACAAGATACATTGCAGTATCATCGCATTAGAATCATTAGAGCTCTCTCAGCAGTATTAATTATGTTCAATTTTATTTCTGGTTGATGAAATGCGTGCTGCAATTCTCTTACCTTACAATATTAACGAAACAAAATGAATTATTATTTAGAGGAAAAATGTTTTAATATTTATTTTTAACTCATATAAAGTATATAACATAAAAAAGAAGATGAAGGAGGAGAAGAAGGAGAAGAGATGACCAAACTAGAAAAAAAGCAGCAGGAGAGGAAGTAACAAAAATGTGGGAAGGGAATGCAAGAAGGAAAGGAAACAAGAGAAAAATGATGGGATTGCACAAGATTGAAAAATAAGGAGTAAGACGCAGAAGAAACGGATAAAGAAACACACACTCAAAAATAAAAAGAGCATCAGAGAGACAAAAAGAACGATGGCCAGAACCAACGAGACAAAAAAGTATGAAAGATATTGAGAAAGCAGAGGAACGAGGTAAGGAAGACGACAGAGAAGGATATAAGATTGAAAGTGATAGGTGCAAATGAAAAAAATAATGGACGAGAGGCAGAAGGAAAGGACGAAATGGAAGTAGGTAGAGAAGATAAAAGGGCAGGAGAAAGATGAGATGGAAAGAAAAAAGAGGAGCATAAGGGAAAGGGAGAGAAAGAGAGAGAGGATGAGAACGAGAAGATAAACAGGAAGAGATGAGGTGAAGAAAGAGGAGGGGAAAAGGGCCGTGGACAAAAATGAGAACGAAGAGAAGCACGAGGTGGAAGAGGGAAGAAAGAAACGGGACTGAAGGAGATGTAAAGGATAACCGAGAAGAAGAAGAGGAGAGGAATGCACTCACCCACAACGGCGTCGTAGAAGCGGGAGTCGCGGCGGGTGGGGGCGCTGTTGGGCGCGTGAAGCACCTGCGACTTCACCGCGTCCGCCCCGTGCTGTTGAGGCGTGAAGGCGAGGGCGGCCCCCGCTAGGGCCACCAGCAACGTGCAGGGCAGCAGCTGCATCTTAAGACGCTCTCTGGCGACGAACGACGGCGGCGCTCGGGAGGAAGGTAGCCTCAAAGCGAATGACACCGCTGGACTCCGGGGAATCTAACAACAAGGAACACCAAGTCGCGTTCAAAAATAAGCGCAGATACTCTTTTCAGACGATGCAAATTATACTCGGTTCACAAATATTTGCGAGTCAAGGATGTTCACTGCGACTGAAGAAACATTGAATAAAAATTTTACAGAGAGTGATTTTCATTGTGATCTCCGATAGTTCACGATTCTTGGAACCTCACAGTAAATGGAAATTTTGCGTAACGGAGTTAAATGTTCGTCGTCAACGTATAACTTGTATAAAAAAAAATCTCTTGGAAAAACTGCAATGGAGCAAATCATATTTTACGCCCAGTTTATACACATTTTATGGTAATTTATACTTCATCGATCCATCAGGTGGATACCGGAAAAATAACATCCCTTGCACCTGTTTTTCACCAACAGGAGAAATAAACAATTAACATCCAGTGTTCTAAAATGGTAGTTTATTTTTTCGATATTGGATGGAATTTAACAATGTATTTTTACTCTTAAGCAGAAAAGCAGCAAACTAGTTTTTATCTAATTATGGATCTTTTTGCCATTTGACGTAGTTCCGGCTCACTGTAATACAACCCAAGAATAGTAAAACATACACTATAGATTTATTTATTTGTTATTCCCGAACAGCATCATTTATCAATTCATCAATATTAATCCATCGAGGTCTTCTTTGTTATAGATGTTTCGATAAAGTAAAGATTTAAATGATTTTAACTGTTTGCATACAGTACTAACGAGCTTTTAGTTAACTCATGGATGTATTGAAATTCAAATAACAAAACATTATTAAGTTTTTATCCCTAAGTAAATGTAGTACATACTCGACAATTGTAATGTCCGTAAGAGTTAGTAAAGATTTCACATTATGAAAATGTTATCGATATTGCGGTGTAGATACACGGAGTTCAGTGTATATGCAGTATAGTTCTCTAAATTGTAGTATACTGGGAGAATTAAATTACAGGGTAACAATTTTTACTGGGAATTTCAGTATTTTCAATCCTCTTGCGGCTGATATTAATGTTAATATTCTTGATTTCTTTTCAGATACTTGGAAATTGATGGTCTTACTTATTTATATTATTATTTAACTTCAAAAGAAGTAAATAATGCATGCGTTATTTTTAAGGAACAAAAATTAGGAGCATTTGGGGACATAGAGACATGATATGGTTTGGAGACGTCCCCTAAGGATCAAGATTTTTCTGTCATGTAAAAAGATATTTGGCTTAACTGATAATTGTTAAATTATTATTATTATTATTATTATTATTATTATTATTATTATTATTATTATTATTATTATTATCGTTGTTATGAAAACGAATTGTGTAAATTGTATAATATGCATGTATCAACTAATATTTCAGCTTCTCTCTCGATAATCCCCATCTCGATCAGATTTTTTCGTCCAGTTTCCTTGATCCATTGAGCAAACACTGAGATGGCCCACTGTTTTGATTCTGGACATAAATGTAGCTTCACTGTGTGCACGTTTTGTTGAGCTCTCCTTTTGCTAGTAGTAGTAGTAAAAGTAGAGCCAGAAGTTTTGGTTACACTTTTGTTATCATTAATAAACAATAAAATCTGTAGTTTGTTTGCCGATAAGATTTTTATAACCCGAGAGAGAAAATGTCTGTTTTCTTTCAAACGTTCCTATCCTTGCTTTGTTGGTACTATTATTCACTAGACACCTATGTATTGCAAAACGGTGGGAAAGATATTCTGGAGCTTAAGTCAATGTGCGCAGCTTAAAGTTTTTCCTCATACGTCACATGCAGTTTTAACTGTTATATTGCGAAAATAAATAAAATCAAAACAAATTTCGTTGGGCGAAAGTAATAACATAGGCTTACATGGCGAATGCACTCCTGACTTCTGAGAGGTGTCTCCTCTCGCTTTATAGTCCTAACTTCTCTTCCAGAACAAGCAAATGTGCATCGGATGTCATGCTCGTGCTAATGGTACGCCCGAAAATGCTATTCGCGAGGGCGATAATAATACGAGTATCTGTTTTCGGAGACACCTTTCAGAAGGCACAAACTATGAATTTTCTTCTGGCGATTTCTATTATTTATGCATGATTCATGTGCATCGTTCTAATTGGCCCCTTATACAAACTGCGACTTACGGCAGTAGTTAAAAATGGGGATTTTCTGTGTAGCAGATGACTTCTGAAATATGAAATACTTGTATTCCATAATATCCGTCAGTATTGCAGTGATTTTGTACAACGCTTACATTAATAGAACTAAGAAAAAAATAAAAATTCTTATTATCAAAGATGTATTGGTTTTTGTTTTCAATTGTTATATTTTGGAAATATCTAATTTCGAAGTTCAAAAAATACTATTCCAAAACTTTAAAAAACGGTAAAATAGAAAAAATGAAAGCATTGAAAAATGTGGAATAAAAAGCAGTTACATCAATCTGGTACGGAGTTAGTGGAGTGAACAAGGGCTGTTTGCGTTCATGCTAAAGAGAGCAGATGATTTTAAGTTGGCTGCTCTGACAGACGATCATTCCAGTCCCCATACCAAAACTTGAGTGAATCCCCTTTAGAGAGAGCACTGTACCGAGTGTGCAGGGCAGCTGCGGCAGGTGCACGGACTGCGCTTCTGCGTGGCTCGTGGGCTGCGGCCGGGGGCTGGCTGCGGGGGTCCCGTTACTGCGGCTGGCGACTACGATGCACTGTCGGGCAAGGAACCGGGACGCGGCTTTTTATACGACGCGACGCGCGCGGGTGGGGCGAGGCGGAGCGGGGCGAGCGAAGCGGGGAACGCAGAGGGTGCGGGGCGGGGGAGGGGCAGGGCTTTCGCTCTCTCTGTCGTTCGGGGCCACGCACTCGCCGCTCGAGCCTGCGAGAGCCTGGCGGAGCGGAAGAGGAGGAGGAGTAGGAGGAGAAGGAGGAGGTCGATGACGACGAGGACGAGCAAGTTGAGGAGGAGGAGGAGGAGGCAACTGGCGGAGAGAGGCGCACGGGAGGCGGGGATCACTGAACAGCTGATGCAGTGCGAGAACTTCGCACGCATGTTCGAGTCTCCTAGTGCTATGGGACTGCTCGAGTTGGTTTCTTGCTGGCAAACACGTTGTTCGTTCCACTAGCGGTAGATTGCTGATTACTTGCATTATGCTTTACACATAAATTCCTCACTAAAACTATCTGAACAATTGTGGAATGATATAATGAGTATATTGTACACTTCTATTCCTTTTTTCTGAAAATAATCCATCAGTCGTGTTCCAATGATTGCTCGTGATTTCCGATATATGGAGCATTTAGGAATAAATCACAAAATAAAGGTGAATGAATGTCCGTGTATTACGGCTTTACATCATAAACATGAAGCACTGATGTGGTCGTAAGTAGAGAATTTAATTATTCCACAATTTTTTGACAACCTTGTAGGCGTTGCAATTTTTCATGTGTTTGTATAAGATTCTATTTGACGAGAATTTTAGTTGATGTTTGCACCGGAAAGAGAGCGGCAGACTTGAATTGTACAATCTTGGTGACTTGAAAAAATTCATGAACTTTCCGCGAACATTTCACATATTTTTCTCTCTTTATAGAACAAGAGTAGACTTTTCTGAATTCATAGCACATTTGGCATTGGAGTATAACTGATCCTTTCTAAACACGAACTTTTCGCAAGAAATGAGTTATCAGCGTTTTGCTGTTTGCTAAGGTTCGTCGCGGCCCCAATGCAGCGTGAAGTAATCGCAATACAGACCTAATCTAGTTTAACACTATGGATGAAATATTTCCGGTCTGCCATTTTATTGGACGAGATCGAAAATATATGAATGCCCTACCGTATGATTACGTACATAAACAATTTCTTACTGTTGTTTTCTCAGAATTTTGTGAAAGATTATTTTCCCGATGGATTTTGTCGGCTTCAACATTAAAGTTTCTCAAATACACGAGTATTATATAATGTTTAACTGCTTCTTAGATCATAATATATGTTTAGGAAAAATTTCACTCCGCTTGAATTTGATCTGATGTTTCTTCGTAAACTGTTTGGCCGAACTGTCAGTTTGACTCCTTTCTTTTAGTTTATCTCGTGTTTATTTCCTTCGTCACATAAATTTATTTTTATTAATTTTTGTCCTTTCCTTTTTACTTCTTTTGACTCTTAGACAAATTTCTTCATGGAATTCTTCTAAATCGCTAAAGATAAATGTGCCGGTAAATGGCGTAAGGACACAACCACCCAATTGTACATGAATAAACGGATGAAGTTTATTTGGTATTAATGTGCTCTGTTTTGTCTTGAGAAAATGTGTACATTTTTGAAAAAGAATGTGTAAATAAAATGGAACAAAGTCAATGTTCCCAGAATTAGAAAAACGGTAGAGAATTTCCGAAACATTTAATTCCCATCTTCACAGTTAGAAATCAATGTGGTACTTACAAGTAGAACAATGAACCATTATACATTTTATGTGTTTCACATCAAAAGGCGAAGTAATACAGCGTTGGTACAAATTAGAACAAACGAAATAAGAGAGTCAAAATGAACCGCAGAAAGCCTATTCTCAGTACAAATTCCTTTTTGTTTTCTATTCACTTTGAAATAAATGTTGATCCTCGCATAAGATGAATAGTGTTGGTAAAACAAATATCTATTATGGAAAATGTAATGAGAGTTAAAAGTGAACAATACACAAAATGAGTTATTGCAATAAAAGTCTTGTTAGATGTATAAAAATATTTAATATAGATAAAACATCTCGAAAGTATAACATCTCAAACTGTTTGGACGGCACTCGTAAATGATATGAAATTATAATACATCGTGAAAGGAGTGTTGTCCCTTTTCAGAATTGTGAATCATAAATGATTAAAATATTATATATTCGCACACATCAGATCAATAGTGGCATATAAAAACTACACTAAAATTTGT